TCCACCAAAATTCCCTCACGATGAAACATATACACCCAACAAATGTGTGTGTGTGTGTGTGTGTGTGTGTGTGTGTGTGTGTGTGTGTGTGTGAATTGTTTGTGTGCTCAGTTGAATGCGATAAAAACTACGCACCCCTTCGGCGAGCTCCTTGCGTGTCTCTTCAACGTTGCGGTGTGGACAGAACTCATACACGAACACACGCAGGCGGTCGTGCTCAGAGACAACATCTGCAGAGTGTAGGCGTGTGTGCGTGTGTGCGTGTGTGAAGTGAGCGGGTGATTTACATGGTGCACTGCAATATGTAATCTACAGCCACATCACCAAAGCTCCATGCATGCAGGCTCCAAAGTCCACAAGCAACAGCAACGCGGCGTGCTTGCTTGGTGGGTGTCAACGCACCTTCGAGCTTCGTGTCGTCTGTAAGCTCGTGCTCCGGGGAGAGCAGCTGCAGTGACGCGGCCGCGGGCGTGTCGTACTTCTGTGTGAACGCGTCCTGGTGGTTGGTGGGTTCGTTTGTCGTTAGTGCGTTGGATTGTGGGGTGAGTCGTTGAGTCGATGGGGTGAGTAAGTGACTGATGCTGCATTGGACGTGCGCGCTTCAGTCACACACACACATGTACATATACACACACAACATGCACACACAACATGCACACACAACACACGCGCGCGCACAACACGCACACACACAACACACGCACACAGCGCAGAACACGTGCAGTTGCTGCACCTTGACTTGAGCGATGGTCGTGTCGCGGGGCATGTTCGACAACGACACGATGTGACCAATCTGATACGCCTACACAACACACGCATGCACATGCACGAACACGCTCTCATGCATGAGCATTTGTTGAAGCAGGCACAGCACAAGCACGCATGTTCGCCACGCACGTCACACACACGCGCGCAAAAGCAGCACACATGCTCGCGTGCACGCACACCTGGCTGGTGATGACATCCTTGAAGGTCTTCGTGCAGAGGTAGCCGTCAACAGCCACAGTCTGCACATGACAACAGACACATACGCGTGAGCACAATGATGACACACGCCTTTGTCACCACATGTGTGCATGTGTGTTTATGCTTGCGTGCGCATGTGTGGCGGATGTGTCCATGCGCGTGTGTTGGATGGCCGAGATTGTCAGCCACCCAAGTGTGTGTTAAGAACAAACCTTCATGTCCGGCTGCTGCTCAGGCTCCGCGTGTGCGGCAGAGAGGTCCAGTTTCACCTTCACGTCAATGTCCGCGTCAAGCTCCTTCTGTGTCAACTCTCGGATCTAAAACATGTACGGCAGAGAGGCGCAGTCGTGTGCATGGAGGTGCGAACACTGCCGTGAGCTCATATGTTGATGTTGCAGCCACCGAGCAACATGTGACGACCGTGGAGGCAAGCAAACTACCTGCACACGCACGGATCACACAGGCACGCAGTCACATCAGGCACAATCACACAGGCATGCACAACGTCCCCGCACCTCTCCGTTTGTTGCGAGCTGGAAGCATTCCGTAAACAGCTGCTGCGTGCTGTCACGCAGTGCCGGGATTGAGTCGTGGAGGGAGTTCACAGCAGCGTGGAACTCGTTGGACGTCAGGTCGCCAGGCTGAGAGGCGATGGTGGTGATTGTGGTGGTGGTGGTGATGATGATGGTGGGTTGGTGGTGGTGGTTGTGATGATGATGGTGGGAGGTGACGCGAGTAACGGTGCCCACACAACGCGACAGAAGCGAAGCTGTCGCTGTAAACACATGTTGAACCCGATCACACAAGGGCACAACCGAGTCACAGCACAGCAGCAAAGTGCATCACGCTGTTGCAGTGAAGACTGCAAACCAGCGACCCCACGACCGGCACGCGCATGCGCACCTTGCACAAGAGGGCCACGCCGCCAAGGAGGACCTGACAGGTCTCGAAGGACAGGCGGCGAAGTGGCGACGGCTTCCCGCCGTGCAACAGATCGCTCGTGTGCACCAGCCGCTGCATATGCCACGCAACGTTGTCGCAGATGCTCGCAAGCTGGCGGGATGATGGTGGTGGCGGTGGTGGCGGTGGTGGTGGAAATAGGAGTTGTTGTGGATGACGGGAAGCACGCAAGAAGCAAAAGTCGAGATAGTGATGAGATCCAGGCCCCCATTCTCAACACTCGATACAATGACACGCGCATGCAGGCCATGTCCCAACACGCAACAACACACACGCAAGCAAACACACGCAAGCAAACAAACACGCAAGCAAACACAATGCTCCCTCCTTCACACACAGATGCGCAAGTGTCATTGCACCTTCCACGTGACGGGACACGGGGCAAGGATGGCTGCTGTCAGCTGCTGCAGCGAGCTGAGGAGCGCTTGCGAGCAGTGCAGAAGCGTCTGCTTGCAGTGCACAAAGTCCACACACTCGCACCTGCGTGCATGTACAATGCGTTGGGCACGTGGTGAAAAGGGGGCGGGGGGCGATCATTGGCGCGTTGCCCACGTAGGCGGAACGTGAAGTAACAGGTGCACGCAAACGAGGTGGAACATACAGAACTTTAAGCACGAAGGGGTGGCACCACTGGTTATGTGGTCGACACACACGCGCACGCACACGCACACACACACACACACACACACGCGCACACACACGCACACGCACACGCACACACACGCACGCACACACGTGCACGCACTTGTCGTCTGTGTGGGGCGTTGCGCTGACATCGAAGCATTCCTGGATGCGCGTCATGAGGTGGTGGGCGGGCCGTTCCGTGACCGTCGAAAGAAACTTCAAGCGCCTACACGCACGCACAAACACGTGTGTATGTGCATGTGAGCGTGCATTCCCGAGAGAGTGTGTGTATGTGTGTGTGTGTGTGTGTGTGTCTGTGTGTGTGTGTGTGTGTGTGTCTGTGTGTGTGTGTGTGTGTGTGTGTGTGTGTGCCCTGACCTCATGCCGGCGATGAAATCGTGCATGACGACAGAGAGGTTGATGATGCTGTCCATAATCTGTCATTGAACCAACCGCAAAACACATGATGTTGGCGACCAAAATGTATTGAGGCGACACGCATACACATGTCAAAGCACAAATCAAAACACAAACACACACACACTCTCTCTCTCACTAACTCACGCACACAACACATACAAGCACGCGTGCACGTTGTCACGAACCGCGGGCTCTGTGGCCTCTGAATGTCCGGATTGGGCAAAGTTGTGCAGATATGCTGTGACGGAGACGCTGGCGGCCTTCACAGACTGGTGGACAGCAGCACAAGGCAACAGCAGGGGGTATGGAGGAGGACGATGCAGCGTGGTGAGCATGCAATCACAAGCATTGTACAATGTGTGCCAACGGGCGCGTGTGTGTTGACGCTCTTCCTTCCAGCCGTCTTCGCGTGTGGGTGACTGTAGGCACATGCAAACAAGTCCATGCACAAGCACGTGCACAACTCGACCCCTCCCAATATCGTGTTGTCATGGCACCTGGTAGACGCGTTCCAGATCTTGTGGCAGGTCCCGCTCGTGGCCCGCAAACTTGCGCAGCGTCGAAAACGCCTGAAACTGCACACGCACACACACACGCACGCACGCACACACACACACACACACACATACACACACGCACACACATACACGCACACACATACACGCACACACACGAAACACAACCAAGTTAGAGTGCGGAGGTTTTTCAGCAACACGTGTTGCGAGCATACAGTAGAGGGACATCATACACACGCACACACGCACACACACACGCACGCGCGCACACGTCCGTGTTTTCCACCGAACGCACACACGCAGGCGTGCTCATGCTTACAAGGGCCTTGGCGGTGGAGGCCATGCGCTTGATGTCCCACACTTCGGCAGCGCTGTAGAGATGATCAAGCTCCGACTCAATCACTTCCACGTGGTACTCAATGTCCTTGGAGAGCGCGGGCGTGGCGCGCGGAGTGTCTGCCGTGTCCTCCTCAGGGTCAATGGAGAGGGTGCGGTTGATGGTCGGGCGCTTGCGAATGGACCGCATGCTGCTGCCGAGTGACGCCTGTGTCGCGTCGACGTCGAGGTCTTCATCGTCGCTGTGGACGCTGGTGTCGCTGTCGCTGCCATCGGAGATGGGCTGCTGGTGTGCGGTGTCGGCGTAGATGGGGTCTGCGCCGTCCAAGTCCCCATCGTTGGAAAAGGTGGTGTCAGGGTTGTACTGTGGATCGTACTCGTAGATGTCGTCCAGCTGGCCCTTGTCGTTGAAGTTGTCGTATGGGTTGAACTCTGGTGGCTTCTCGCTGTCGCCGCGCGGCACGACGCTGTTGGCGGCGTTGCGCACGCTGTTGATGGCGGCCTGCAGCTTGGCGTTGGACTTTTCGGTGAAATCCTGCGTGAACACCTCCACGACGGTGTTGACGAGCTCCTTGGCCTTGGTTGCGAGGGCCTCGCCGCTCTCGTTGGAGGACGTCTCGCTGAGGTTGCCGCACGCAGTCATCAGCTCCCGGACTTGATCTCGCAGGAGCATCTTGTCCCTGGCCCTCGCCGCCTCATCGCACTTGTCCAGCACTTCCAAAACCGTCTTCATCTTGTACTTGTGTGTCTATGGGTGGTTGTGTGTGTGTGTGTGTGTGTGTGTGTGTGTGTGTCTATGGGTGGTTGTGTGATATGTTATGTGTATGTATGTGTGTGTGTGTGTGATGTGTGTGTGTGTGTTGGCTTATGTGACTGTATGTCCGTGTGTGTGTGATGTTGATGTGCAGACGCGTGAGGTGACAGTGAGTCAACAAAACAACAGGAGAATTGGTTGGGTGGTGCGTGTGTGTCAAAGGACTTGTTTTGGCTTCCCCACACACACAAACACACACAGCACCCAGCCAGCAAACATGCGGTGCATCGAGCAGACGCCACTCCCCGCCCCTCCCAGCTCTCCCTTCCTTCCTCCGCCCTCTCTCCAGCTTACCCCTTTCAGCAAAAAAGAAATAAGAAGGACAGCTTGGATGCTGGGATGCGAAGCGAAGCAGCCAGACAAAGCCAGGCAGCAAAGGTGGGAAGCGAGAAAGACAACGCAAGCAACCCGCGGCAGTGCGTAAGGGAAGAGGTGTGTGCGAAGGAGGCGGGTGTGCTGTGGGAGCGCCGTGCACAAAACAACCACAAAAAGCCCACAAAATCAACCAACGCATTTACGTAAGCTTCGAAATGTTGTTGAAAATTTCATGTGTTTTTCGTCACAATTCTTTATTGTGTTGACAGGACTTCAGCGAGTCCAGCTTGGAGCTTGGCGCTACACCCCCAAAAACCGACAACAGCGTACAGCGCTCAAGCACGAGAAGACGAGAACCACAGCACAACGCAGCACCAACTGCAGAACCGCGTATCAGACAGCACAGCGATGGCGGCACAGGGAAGAGAGATGGCAGTGGGAACATAGCCTAAGAAGAGAAAAACAAAACAAAACAAAACAAAACAAGCATGCAAGCAAGCAAGAAGAGCGGGAAGAAGCAGGAAACGTGTGAAGGAGAGTTCTAGCAGTTACCTTGAAGACAAGAGGAACAGTTTTCTTTTGGCACACTTCGTTCTGAAGCACGCCCTTCTTCCTCTAGGCCTGGTCGTTCTCGTCCTCATCCTCATCCATGCCATCTGGCTTTTCCTCATCCTCGTCCTCGTCCTCTTCCATGTCCTCATCGTCGTCATATTCCTCCTGCAGCCAGTCAAGTGGCTCGTGCTCCTCCTGCTGCTCGGCCTCCTGCCATTCCTCGTCGGTGGCAAGGCACGCGTCCAGTGCTTGCTCAAGCTGTGCCTGGTTCAGTGGCGCCCCAATAAACACCAGCTCCTGCCGCCGGTCGTCGTTGTTCTCGCCCAGGTCCTGCTTCACCTTCTCATCATCAAAGAGCTCAACCATGTCAGGCTCCATGTCCCGCAACCACGGCCCTGCCATTGCAATAAGGGAGAGACACAGAGACAGAGAGAGAAAGAGAGTGTGTGTGAGTGCGAATGGGTGACTAAGCGTTGGTGTGTCTGGGAAACTGGGTGTATAATAGCTCACAAGGACGTGGAAGAACCATGAAATCTGTCTCGTCCCCCATAAGAAACGCCACGTGTGCACGGCAGAGAAACGCAAGTGCAAGCAAAGTAGAGGCCTAACCTGTGCATTCAAGTGAAAGCATGAGCCCAGCTTGGGACCATTCTCCCATCAGGTGCTGTCGCGTGGAGAGCCAGAAGAACCCCTTGGACCGCAACGTCCCAGCAAACACGCTCTCTTGCTTCCGTGCTTGTGCACGCACACGCGCATCCTGAACACCCTTGTCGCTCTCATCGCTCTCATCGCTCGCATCGCTGTCGTCTTTGTTGTCCTTGGTGTCGGCGTTCTTGGCATCAGCATCCGCACGCTCACCCTCGTCGCCCTGGCCTGCTTCCATGCCTTCTTCATCTGCTTCTGCTGCTTCGCCCTCAAGAATGAACGCAGACGCAAGCAAGTCGTGCAACCTGTGCGTACACAGTCACAGTGATGCAGAGCAAGACATGGAGATACGGTAATATGAGATGAGCGAGGCTGGTGTGTGTGTGTGAAGGCATGGCTCTCGTCCGCAGGCGTGCTACGAGCGCACGCAGTCAAACACACACACACACAAACATCCACACACACACACACATCACACATCCACACACACACATCACACATCCACATCCACATCCACATCCACATCCACACACACCCATCATCGACACATCCACATCCACATCCACATGCATCGTACGTACCGCTGTGGGTGGAACGGCCGCTGTCGACGGTACACAAAGCTTGACACGCCATACTCTTCCGTCTCGGGCACCACCTCCCCTTGCAGGCTCTTCAGCCACCCTGTTGTTGTTGGTGGTGATGACGACGACGATGTGTGCATGCAAGGGCCATGGTGGTGGTGGTGTTGTTGGTGGTGGTGCCATGATAATGACATGACGGTAGAAGTAGCGGTGGTGTTGTGGTGGCGGTGGTGAGTCTGATATGCACAAGCACGCATCCCACAAACATTTGCCACACACACACACACACACACACACAAACAAGCACACACACACACAAACAAGCACAAGCCATACATACACACCCACAGATCACACAGATCACACACAAGACAACCTGCGTGGGTCATGGCCTGTGCAAAGTCAAATCGGCCCGTGTTGAGGACGAGGGACGGGTCAACGCGCGAGTGCTGCGTGGTGACAAGCTTTGCGCCGGGATTGAGCTGCGTGATGACACCCCTGATGCGCTTCAGCGTCGCCCCATCCACAAGGTCCGTCTTGTTCAGCAGGATGATGTCTGCAAACTCAACTTGATCCACCATCAGGTCTGTCAGCGTGCGCATATCGTCCTCAAACCCTTCGCCCTCCTCAACGTCGCCCACAACCCTGTATGTATGTGCGTGCAGTGTCAGTGGGACCACAGCAATTGCATCAGCAGTGCGTGGTGGTGAGCTGATGGAAGGCAGCATTGATTGTGCAGCGACACGTGGACAGTTGGATGCTTGGATATGTCTCTTGCATCTGAAGCATATGAAACAAACGTTGCATGTACACGCACACACACACACGCACCACGCATGTGCACACACACACACCACACACACGCACACACACACACACACCACACGCACACACAGACCTGTCATCTTCAAAGGTCTGGAGGAAGTTGAAGGCGTCAATGACAGTGACGCACGCGTCCAGCTGCGCAATGTGTGCCAGCCTGTCCTCTGGCTTCTCCGCCAAGATGAGATCCGTGAGCTCCTCAAGCCCTGCCTCCTGCACCATCTCCTTTGCCTCCGGATCATCGCTTGCAGCGCTGGCCATCAACATGAACGTTTCCGCCACCTGCAGTGCCCGCGTGTGTGTGTGTGTGTGTAAGGTTGCGCATGAGTGAAGAGCGGGCACACAAGCAGGCAACAAGGTGACAACCCACAGCCACTAAGCAACGCAGCAGCTTTCACACCAAATACAGCAGCGACAGCAGCGACAGCACGCACACAGTACACATACACACGCATGCACACTTACACGCACGCGCACACATGCACACAAGCTCCGCTATGGGTTACCTGGATGGGCTCGGAGATGCCGGTGCTTTCAATGATGCAGTAGTCGTAGTGCTTCGAGCGCGCCAGCTTGGCCAGTGCACGCAGCAGGTCCACACGCAAGGTGCAGCAGATGCAGCCGTTCTGCAGCTGCACCAGCTCTGGCTGATCCTCCTTCAGCTCCGTCACGACGCCATTCTTCACAAGCTCCGCATCCACGTTCATGCTTGCCATGTCATTCACAATCACCGCCCTGGCGTGTGCAAGTGTGCAAGGGGTGAAGGAAGAGGAGGGTGAGTTGAGCTGTGGTTGTGTGATCTTGTGATGGGAAAGCAGCCAAGCACAAGTGTAGCAGGGCTGCACAACCAGACAACCGCACCTGCAACAGCAGAAAATCACGGAGAGTACACCTGTACACAGACAGGAACGAGACCACCAAACCGCGCACAGCAAGACTTTGCAGCAGGCACATGTCTCCATGTCTCATCATACGTGCTGCTGTGTGAGAGCACTTGGACTTACATGCGCGCGTCCTTCATGGTGCTCTTCTGGCTGAGGAGATGACGCAGGAGCGTCGTCTTCCCCGCTCCAAGGAACCCGCTCAGCACCGTGACTTTCATTTTGAGGCACAAACTGCAATGTGTTGAGGCGCAATACGCACGTTATGCGGGCTTGTCCAGGGTTTTGGTTTCGACATTCAGTACAAGAATAAATGAGCTAGCGATCCCCGTCCCTCCGTCCCAAGTCCATCTGCATGTCTGCACAGTACGTGTGTCTGGCAGTCTCGCAGTGTTCTTGGGCGCCCGATCTCGATGTATCACCACTTCGGAGCACCACTTTGGAGCAGCAACACTGCGGAGTGCCACTGCGGAGTTAGAGCTGCGCAAGACCTGAGCTACATATGCTGTCGTGACCTGCACTGGCCTAGTGCTAGTACCCAAGCCAGTACCCGGGATTCTTCTTCCCTGACAACCATGCGGTGTTGACACCTCACTATATAGGCACACGTTGAGGCAGAGCACAGCACCATGCGGCCCACAACGATTACACCGACATGGACACGTTGGGGCAGAGCAGAGCACCATGCGGCCCACAACGACCACACCGACATGGACACGTTGAGGCAGAGCACCATGCGGCCCACAACGACCACACCAGTATGGACACGTTGGGGCAGAGCAGAACACCATGCGGCCCACAACGACCAAGCACATATGGACACGTTGAGGCAAAGCACAGCTCCATGCGGCCCACAACGACCACGCCCACATGGACACGTTGAGGCAAAGCACAGCACCATGCGGCCCACAACGACCACGCCCATATGGACACGTTGAGGCAGAGCTCCATGCGGCCCACAACGACCACCCGGTATGGACACGTTGAGGCAGAGCTCCATGCGGCCCACAACGACCAAGCACATATGGACACGTTGAGGCAAAGCACGGCACCATGCGGCCCACAACGACCACGCCGGTATGGACACGTTGAGGCAGAGCACCATGCGGCCCACAACGACCAAGCACATATTGACACGTTGAGGCAAAGCACAGCTCCATGCGGCCCACAACGACCACACCGGTATGGACACGTTGAGGCAGAGCACCATGCGGCCCACAACGACCAAGCACATATTGACACGTTGAGGCAGAGCAGAGCACCATGCGGCCCACAACGACCACACCAGTATGGACACGTTGAGGCAGAGCACAGCACCATGCGGCCCACAACGACCATACCGATGTGGACACGTTGAGGCAGAGCAGAATGCGGCCCAAAACGACCAAGCACATATGGACACGTTGAGGCAAAGCACAGCACCATGCGGCCCACAACGACCAAGCACATATGGACACGTTGAGGCAGAGCACCATGCGGCCCACAACGGCCACACCAGTATGGACACGTTGGGGCAGAGCACCATGCGGCCCACAACGACCAAGCACATATGGACACGTTGAGGCAAAGCACAGCTCCATGCGGCCCACAACGACCACACCGACATGGACACGTTGAGGCAGAGCACAGCACCATGCGGCCCACAACGACCACACCGATGTGGACACGTTGAGGCAGAGCACCATGCGGCCCACAACGACCACACCAGTATAGACACGTTGGGGCAGAGCAGAACACCATGCGGCCCGCAACGACCAAGCACACATGGACACGTTGAGGCAAAGCACAGCTCCATGCGGCCCACAACGACCACACCGACATGGACACGTTGAGGCAGAGCACAGCTCCATGCGGCCCACAACGACCACACCGGTACGGACACGTTGAGGCAGAGCTCCATGCGGCCCACAACGACCACACCGATGTGGACACGTTGAGGCAGAGCACAGCACCATGCGGCCCACAACGACCACGCCCATATGGACACGTTGAGGCAGAGCACCATGCGGCCCACAACGGCCACACCGATGTGGACACGTTGAGGCAAAGCAGAACACCATGCGGCCCACAACGACCACACCGATGTGGACACGTTGACGCAGAGCACCATGCGGCCCACAACGCCCACCCGGTATGGACACGTTGAGGCAGAGCACAGCATCATGCGGCCCACAACGATTACACCGACATGGACACGTTGAGGCAGAGCTCCATGCGGCCCACAACGACCACACCAGTATGGACACGTTAGGGCAGAGCAGAACACCATGCGGCTCACAAGGTCCACACCGGTATGGACACGTTGAGGCAGAGCACCATGCGGCCCACAACGCCCACGCCCATATGGACACGTTGGGGCAGAGCACCATGCGGCCCACAACGACCAAGCACATATGGACACGTTGAGGCAAAGCACGGCACCATGCGGCCCACAACGACCAAGCACATATTGACACGTTGAGGCAGAGCACAGCTCCATGCGGCCCACAACGACCACACCGACATGGACACGTTGAGGCAGAGCACAGCTCCATGCGGCCCACAACGACCACGCCCATATAGACACGTTGAGGCAGAGCACCATGCGGCCCACAACGTCCACACCGATGTGGACACGTTGGGGCAGAGCACCATGCGGCCCACAACGCCCACACCGGTATGGACACGTTGGGGCAGAGCACCATGCGGCCCACAACGCCCACCCGGTATGGACACGTTGACGCAGAACACCATGCGGCCCACAACGCCCACCCGATGTGGACACGTTGAGGCAGAGCAGAATGCGGCCCACAACGACCAAGCACATGTGGACACGTTGAGGCAAAGCAGAGCACCATGCGGCCCACAACGACCACACCGACATGGACACGTTGAGGCAAAGCACAGCACCATGCGGCCCACAACGACCACACCGATGTGGACACGTTGAGGCAGAGCACAGCACCATGCGGCCCACAACGACCACACCGGTACGGACACGTTGAGGCAGAGCTCCATGCGGCCCACAACGACCACACCGATGTGGACACGTTGAGGCAGAGCACAGCACCATGCGGCCCACAACGACCACGCCCATATTGACACGTTGAGGCAGAGCAGAGCACCATGCGGCCCACAACGACCACACCGACATGGACACGTTGAGGCAGAGCACAGCTCCATGCGGCCCACACCCATAACCACACCGACGTGGACACGTTGAGGCAGAGCACCATGCGGCCCACAACGGCCACACCAGTATGGACACGTTGGGGCAGAGCACCATGCGGCCCACAACGACCACACCGGTATGGACACGTTGGGGCAAAGC